GCCTTCATCTTCTCTTATAAATTACAGTTTAGCTCCACAAATGAAATAGATCAGAAACTGTGAGATTCTCTCTCCTTTATATGGAAGAATAAAGGCTAAAAAGCAAAGACATTTTTATTCTGAACGTAGAAAAGCTACATGCTTTCATCTTTAGTTTACAAAAAAGGATGAAGCAGCACAACTAGTCTCTGTGAGGGAAAGGAGCTAAAATTAGGCTGCAGAGTCAGTGCCAGTTGCCAAACAAGCCCATGCCAAGTATCAAAGTAGAACACAGCTTCACCTTCAGCCCACTGACTACAAGACCACCTGGGTTGGCAGAACACGAACGCGACCCTGAAGCCTGCCCAATGTGAGAACTCATGAGAGAAATAATCATCAACAGAGGCAAACAAACGCCGCTGCCTTTCCGAATGCAGCCTATAAATAACACAAACTCTTTAGCACCGTGGCAAATGGAGAGTGTCAAGGATCAATAATTTATGCAAGCAAGAAGAAAGTCATCAGGTTCTACAATCCCAGTAAACAAGACAATGTGCATGCAGCTTGTTTAAAGAGGCATATCAACGGAGGATGGTGCAGATTGATCAACGTTTCGGATCCCTGTCGAAGAGGATGGAGGCAATGTTACAAAAGGGAAAATCTTTGTGCTGCTCTTCCTACGTCAGGGTTTTTGAAAAAGTGGGAAAAAATGCAGCCAATTCATGTTGAATTGGGCTGAAGTGTGACTTCAGTGATCAACAGCTCAGCCTCACAAAGAGTTTTTCTGTTTCAGTTATCTGATGGACATCAGAACAGATATCAGAAATATATTTGCAGAACAGAAAGTATGTAATATTCTGTTTTTGAGCTTTCAGACTGAAGACTAAAAAGGAAGATTTTTTTTTTCTCTGCTGAAAAAACTACTTGGAAGTGGATCTAGATATTAAGAAATGATGGAATTAATAATTGCTGCGTCACATCTTGATTTACCCAAAAATATATATGTGTGGACTACGTTTGATTGGGCATAAAAATTGCAACATTTGTTGCATTTTCAGCTGGCGCAGTTTGCTTTCACACTGCACTGTCACAGGAACCAAACCAATTGAAAAATCTGATCACCTCCTGAACTGTCGTGGCGCTGCACCAAGAACGACTAAAGGAAATGACACAAAAATGAGCACAAAATATAAACAAAAAGAGTAGCCGCAGATTTTAGAGGTTGTAGGATTTCTATTTTCTTTATTGATAAAAGACTATAAGCTAATTCTCCCTAGAGCTAGACTATAATGTTTGTTTTGGTTGTATTTACCCAGAATGCCCTGAGCTGTATCCCGCTTCCTGCTTTTGGAGCGGTCTCCAGTCTGCTGCATTCACACTGCACCAGAGACCTGGGTTTTTAGACAGACCATAATTCACTTTTTTGGTCCGCATCAAAGGCTAACCCTAACCGTAACCCTAACCCTCTCCCAAAACAAACCAAACCTTCTAGACAAACAACCTAGAGTTCAAATAAAGTTGGCTTTAATTGCACCCTATGCTAATTATGTCTCAAATATAGGATTATGGTGTTGTAAAAAAATTGCAATCACACCTTATAATTCCAAACCGCATTAGTATGGAGAGAGGATTCTGAAACAGTCTTCACTTTCATTTCAGTTCATTCTGAGAAAAAATATGTTACTTTGGCAACAATATCATCATTACCTGAGAGATTGCAGTTTTGTTAACAGATTTTGTTTCTATTTTTTTTATTCCCATATAAAGACAAAAACAAAATTTGTTTTAAGGATTAAAGAGTTACGCTAAAAATACAATGCAATGCAACTGATAAACAGCCCCATCTTAAAAATGGTAAGAGCAGCATTTTAAATGACACCCAAGGCCAATTTTTTCACCGATGCACTTTTAACAGAATAAAACTGAAGGTTTGCTAACTCTTTGTAAGACTGGCTACTAATGACGGTGCTTTTGAATTCAGCGTGCGATTATCCTGAAATTGTCAGAAGTGGTCCCTAATTTTCCTTCCTTTGTTTCTTTACCCACCCCTCCAGCAATTTGTATTAGCAGCTTATTAAATTGACTTTTTCTCTTTTATGATGTTATATTTCTATATTGAGGTAAGCTTAATTGCTTCTTTTGGGAAATAACAGCTGAACCCTAACCCCTGAAAGTGTGATGTACTGAAAAGGATCCTGTTTGCTGCAAAAGGGAACGTTCAGGAATGAGATGAAAGAAAAATAGTGAAAATAATCTTTTTATTGTCCAGTATAATTTGAGTCAGTACATTTGCATAAATCATTTGGGATTAAGCTTAAAATTTTGCAGTATATTCAGTGAAGCACCTTTTCTTAATGTTGTCCACTAAGAGCTGCCCAGAGTGACCACAGACGTCTGTTCTCGGCTCCTGGGAGCTGCTCACTTGTGGAATCCCACCGCCCTGGCAGCTTAATCAAAATAAGGTCGATTTGTAGAGTTCAGGGGTGCAGCGCTGCTGTGGCTCGCATCCCCCGCCGGTTCAATTTAAAACGAGTCAACAAACTGACCCACTTCTTGCCCAGGGAGCCGGCATTGAAACAGAGCTGATATCGTCCCTTCTTCGCTTGGACTCAACTGTGTTACTGTGTGTGCACGCCTGTGTCCTCAGCCTCATCCTCATAGAGAGAGCACCATTTATCACAACTCCCAGTCTCCATTGGCACTTCCACTCTGGCTGAAGGATGATGGTTACGCCCCGCAGCTCAGCTGAGATCAGCCAGGACACACAATATACACACATCAGCAACACATATGTTGGGTACATATGGGTAGTGTAACGTTCCTGCTCAGAACTGGATAGTAGAAACCGTTTGAACTCGCAGTCGATGTCATGGAAGGATAATCACAGAACAATTAAATACATTACAAAGTTAGAGAGGGATTGATCAGTACTATATTAGCTGCCTGTGGGAAGCCTCTGACATACACAGATGCTAATGTGACATTTAATCTGATTGGATGCAACTAGGCGTGATTATCATCATCAGTAATTCCCCCCTCCTTGGAAGGTTTCCGAGGTGATTCAAGTGTTCTGTGACTGACACAAATAGACTTTTTGCTGTTGTTCATCAGGAATAACATCTCCAACAGATATGCACCCACACATTTCTGTTATTTCCCCCTCTGCTATGGCTGCTGAGTTGTTCAGAAAAACTCTGCTGAATTTTTTGACATCTGAAATGTTCCTGGGTGCTCATACAGGTGAAGAAAAAAAAATAGACAGAAATGTTTGTAAACAAGCCTGTTCTCAATTTTACCTCCTGCTTACAATGTTGGGAAACCCAGGACAGATAAGTCATTTATCCTGACATTTAGCAAAATTTATAGGTTTGACCTGCTATATTTGAGGACAAACAAGACAGTGTAAGTGTGTGTTAACTTAGATTTATGATCCTTGTCTGCATGACATGGAAAAAGAAAAAAAAAACAGAAGAAATTGTAGTCTTGCATAAAGGCTGCTCAACAAGCTTCTGGCTCCAAGCAGAAATAATTTTAGAAGTCTTGGCTAAAGTACATTGTTGAACAAGGAGACCTAGGGGTTGGGGGGTTTTAAACTCTGTCATGTTTAAAACATGACATGTGCTTTTTGAGCTGAAAACAGAGATGCTGAAACTAATGAAAAATACCTTCACTGCTTTCTTAAGATATCTGATAAGTTCCTGCATTATTTCAGGTAAAAAGTACAACCTACATAGTTACGGTTAGCAATAAAAGGCTCTTGGTTAGGTTTAGATTATAAGTACAGTTATAATAATTTACACTCAGTTGTTATACAAGTGCTATATATAATTTACGACCATTCAAAGGAGCATTAGTTCAGCAGGACTCATACGTATATGTTAAATAAAATACTTTCCCTTAGAAATACAATAATTCACCACCATAACAGTGAGTTGCATGATTCAATCAGACCTTAAATACCATGTTGACCTCCAGATGTAACAAGTAATATTATGAAAGGACTGCAGGAAGTCTGGGGAAATACTGGGTAATAAACAGCCAGTGCAACAGCCTCTGTATATTGTGGGTGACCTTCAAGCCTTCAGGTGCGTCTTCCTGAGAAACTGTCATGCTGCTGTGATCAATACAGGCACATAGGCTCTGGAGTACCTTGAGCTCACATGATGTAAGGTCAGCCAAGTTTGTTGGTGCCTCCAAAACTTTACCCTGAATGTGTATTACAAACAACCAATATATCAACTCAGAGAAGCTCCAGCTCTAATACACCAAGTCACATCAATTGAACACTAAAACATTAGACATGTGGTTAAAGGACTTGACATTTCAGTTTGTGGAAAACAGCCATTTGTTTCAAGGTGCTTTTGCAACTGAGATTATATATATCACACACATAACATTATAAGAATGGCATGAGATTATAGCTTCATCTGGTAACTCTGATGAGTCTGTGGTTATTTCAAGAAGACGAGGCCAGACAATTTTCCGCCTCACCAACTTTTGCGTCCATATATATATATCTATCTATCTATCTATCTATCTATCTATCTATCTATCTATCTATCTATCTATCTATATATATATATATATATATATATATATATATATATATATATATATATATATATATATATATAAATGTATAATCCACCATAAACAAGGACATTATCGCTTTAAAAACTTACTATGTTCTAAACTGAAAACATGTGTAAAGTACATTACTCACTCAAAGTTTTTTGCTTTTTTGCACAACACGCATATTTTTATTTGTGAAGAAGAAAACCACAAGTAATTTTTCTTCCACTTCACAGTCATACACTACTTGGTGTTTGACTATCAAATAAAAGTCCACTGAAATATAGAAAGATTTGTTGTTTTGACTTAATGAGTTTGAATAGTCTTTTAAGGTACTGCATTTCTATTTTTAAAAATGTGCAAAAAGTTGGCATTTAGGTAGATGCTGTATATCATGCGACTCCGTAGCACGTAACATCTAGACTGTAATGACTAATGAGGTGTCTTACCCCGGGGCCTCGAGGGGATTCAGGAGGAGAGATGGGAGTGACCTGTTTTCGACCTGAAAAACAAAAAAATTAATTAAAAAAAAAAATTAAACAAATCAAACTTCCCAACTTCAATCCTAGAAAAGCGATGCTTTTCATATTGTATTCCTGTAGAGGTCTATATTTACAAGTTATCTGGCAACACACCGGCTTCTACAGTTCAGAGGTTAACAAGTTTAAATAATGACGCCGTAATATCTTCTGCATGCTCTGAGTACATCGAAGGAGGTAATTTTATGGTTTGGTTAAAGATTTAATGGAATATGAGCTAGTGAGAGGGAAGAGAGGGTAACTGTAAAATGTTATCTTATATAAACTGCTTCTCTACTGATTGGATTTGAAGCAATCTGGCATCCAGAGGAATGTGAATAAACTGTGACATTAGGAACCGAATAACCCGAGCAAAGTAAATAACTCCACAGAACACTGGAATCCCTCACTATTTTCAAACATGACAAATCTATCCAATTTCACACAGACCAAGAGCCAGAGTTAGATTTAGACAGCTTGCTGAGTTTAAAGAGCAACAATGCTTCCTTGAGATTTTTTTTGGTAGGTAGCCATGGCAATGGTGAACTGAAAGGCGTTCCAGCATCTCTTTGTCCTCCTCTCCAACTCTGCCTCTCTATTTATGCTGGGCTTCACTGGCCTTTTGGAAATTGCTTCAGTTGCCTGCGGTGTCTTGCTGTAGCTCCCATCTGTTCAGACTGCATGCATACAGAGTGGACATGTTATGGGACTGGCTGGCTTTCTCTCACAAATTCGCTATGGCATCAACCCCCCCGGCAACCATTTTCTTTTTAGGGGCTTGCTGTTTTCTCACTGTTATACTTTTGGAGCCCGTGGAGAATTTGATTCACCTCGTTAGCAGGACTGATGTGCAATTGGCCGTTTGTTTGGGATCAATGAGTGGCCATCGTGACAGCTGAACAAACAGCTCTCCACCCAGAGTTGGACAGTTGTTTGCTTTACGAGAGAGGTGGGCTGCATACGAGTGAAACACAAGGGGGACATACAAGGAATGCATTTAAACACAAACCCCTTCAATCTATCTTCATTCTGTCATGTCATAATCACACATTTCAATTTATTCATCTGGACATTAGGCAAAAGACACTAAATTGTCTGTCACATATATCCTGTCCTTCCCAAATTGGAAGGAAAGAATAAATGATTTTCAACTTTTATATTTTTCAAACAGAAATATTAACTTGTAAAGAACTTTTTGTGGAAAGAGAATGGCATAACTGCAGAGACTGAGGGTTCATTAAAAAAGCTGCTAAGAAGCTGATAGTAATTTTGAGGGACCGGCAGAGAATTAGAGCTCAAGTGAAAAAGTCTGTCTAATGGACAGTGTGGCTTATTCACTCCCCATATCTGGAGGAAACCTTTGGCCTAAAAAAACAGCCAATAACCCTCATCGTGCCTTTCACCTAATTTGACTGAACGGGCAAAGGCAGCAACTTTTTGAGAATCGACAAAGAGGGCCAAGATGAACCAGGGAAACACTTTAAACCTCCTTTATGACTTTGAATCCCTCCGATCTGGAGGAGCAGCAGGGATCCACGGCTCGGGTAGGGACACTTTGTTAATAGGACAAGTAAGGCCTACATGGAAAGACTATGTAAAGGAAGAAGATAATTTAGTACAGTACCCTCCACAAAACTCCACAGTGGAACATTGTGGAGAAGATTTTCTTCAGCAAGTGACAAGGGAATCAAAGGCTTTCAAACATCCATCTGTGTATATTGTTTTTTACTTAGTGATACAATTCCTGAAATAAATGTGTTTTTCAATAATCATATTGAATGGATCTGCACATGTTAAAACATCAGAGACAAATTAATGTAATTGCCTATACAAGAAAACAGAATGAATTCAAATCCACAAGATCACAATTTCAGGACCACAAAGGAAGTAAACACATTATAAGTCCAAACTAAAGGTAACACTACCTCCATAGTCACCGGAGATGAGGGAGATGTCTTATTGTACGAAAAGATGACTGTGTATCAAAGAAAGGAACGAATAAATCCATCAGAGATCGCCATCATCAATCAGATGTTGAAATGAAAAGAAATATTCATATCACTCTTCTTTGAAAACAAGCCCAAGTCTTCAGTCCGCTTTTGTAACTCTGTAAAAGCACTTGAACACTGATTAAGATGTCATCAATAGATGCAGCCAAAAGCCTTCTTTGCACTCTTGTGACGCAAGACCTGATCAGCGTTATTCTTCTCTCCTGAGATAAGTAAACAGTCTCATTAGGAGGGAAATAATCAATTACCCAACCAGGGTTCACTCGAGTTCCTAATGCGTCGCTGGGATTGAGTGGCTGCGTTACCACACTTTTAAATCAATTCACCGTCAGAATCACAACAAATCAGCGGTACAGCCTTCGATAAGACATGCAGACAGTGGCACATCATTTATTCGCGGGTATGAGCAACCACAGAATATTTAATCAGAGCTCGATTTTAGCAGGAGCCTTCTTTAAAGCTCGGGGTTCAAAACTTCATTTAGCAAGGATATTGTGGAACCAGCGTGCTTAATTCGCCGCGGCAGAATGACGGCGCTCTGCAAGGCGGGAGAAATTCGTTATCTTTTGTCCACCTTGCACTGACTGCGATTCATTTAGATCTGAATTGTGTAAAAAATAAACAAACAAATGCGTTGCATTGTCAAAATAAAATAATGAAATTCATAAGAAATCAGAATGTTCAGCTGCCACTTCAGTGAATTCTTCAGTACATGGCTGCACTTTGCGTCAACAGCCTCGGACTGCAGCTGGTGACAGCAGTAGCGCTTTACTCTGATGCCCTGAAAACTTGCTGCGGTGGCAAATGAACCGCTCCTCCATCTGCTGCCGGCTCTGGCTGCACCGGCCATCCAGCTTGTAACAGAGGATTTACACAGCAGAAAACCTCCAGAAGACTTCCAGCTGGTCCAAGGAAGTGGAGTTGTAGGCCAACCATAAGATGAGGGACTCAGTGGCAGATTAGAGGTTTTGAGGAACGTCACCACAGTGGCCTTGCTGCTTCCAAGAGGGGGAAGGAGGGATACATTGAGGGAAGGACTCCCTTGCCTAGAAGTAAACTAACTTTGCAAATTAAATAGGGCTGGTGGTTGTATATAAATACTAATAAATGGCTCTATAATCAAGATAAAAGATACATTAAGAAAATAAATGTTAATTACTGACAATGAATTTGTGAATGCTTTAGAAAATCCTAAAGGGAATACTCATAGCCAGAAATGAAAAAAATACTGAAGATAGCTTGAAATGTGATCCTTCTTAGGATTTTGTCTCTTAAAAAATGTAATGTCACCCTCTTTAATGAGCAATGATAGCAGGAAGACAAGGAGGAAATATTTTTGATGCTTTTCTTATATAGTATAATTCTTGAAGAAAAATCAGCTAAACTTGATAACAGCAGTTCAAATCAGTCAAAAGCCGATATATACCGATTATACTACTGTTGTCATATATATATTTATACCGATATATGTATATATATATCGGTATATTTACCGATATTTCAAATCGGTAAATATACAAAAAACGGAGATCCAACATGGTGGCAGAATTCTAATTGGTGCATTTTACTAAATAGTTAGAATGAAAATAAAAGTTCAAGCTTTAAGAGGAAGAAATATTTCACTTTCTTGAAAACAATGTTTTCTCACTTTGTTTATCCTGTTACTTATAGAGCAATTAATGTGACCTTAAAAAGTCCTCATGAATTAAATGAAGATATTTACTTGGTGAAGGTGTTGATCTCTGACGTGGCACATCCTCCTGCTTAGTCCTCAGAGATACCCTAGGGGTGGATGGCTTCTTTTCCAAGCTGGGAAACAGCCAAAATCTTATCACATCCTTTGCCTCCGAGTGTTCCTGAAGAGGAGAAAGTTTAAGCCATGTCAGTGCCCAAAAAAAAGAAATGTTAAAAGAACCCTTTAACTCCAGTTAAAAGGAACAGCAGCGATTCTGGAGCAACTTAGGGGCTGTAATCAGTGAAACAGCAAACATACGAGGAAAGAAGACGGTGCAAAAAGTACTTTGAAAACACAGTAACAACTACAAATATGTGATAATTGACAGCATTGGTGTCAATTATGTTTACACTTTTTCTTTGTTTAACACTCATCCGAAAAGGGAGTAACTTCCAGACAATTTTTAGTCAATGTGATTAGAATATTTGGAGCAAAGCTTTAAGCCGTCATCTTTGCTGAGACTTGCCAATACAGACAATTCACAAAAAAAGAAAGTGTTTTTTTCTTTTTCTTTCAAAAGAGACAGCACCATCTTGCAGTCGTCCAAGAACAGTAATTAGTCTAAACACCTTTCTGTACGCTTTCAGACAGTGATATAATTTATTCCTCAAACAAACACATTCCCTTTGAGCTTTTGTGTTACCTGTGCTGAGACTGCAGCAGGGCTGTGAGTCTGGACAGACGCCTCTGTGCTGTAGACCATCACTCCGAGAGGATTCGGCTTTGCACCTCCTTGCAGAACAAGCTGCACCTCTTTGCCTTTCCAGTGAGCTAGTTCCTGGAAGGGACACCAAAACCCCCAACGAAGGCACTGCAAGAAGGCAGCTCGGGATGTGGAGGTAGCAGACAGCTGCGAGAATAGAAAGAAACGAGAAGAGAAAGAAAATTCCCACTGTGATGCTTGCCCAGTTCTGCTTAAACTTCCACCAGGAATTATAGTATTTGTCTAACAATGTGGGATTAGGAATTCTTACCAAAAACACCCTATCACTAGGGAAAAACTATAATTTGGATATTAGAATGGGCAAAAAGTTGTCTATACTTTGTCTGCATTGTTTTCAGAAGAAAATGACTTTCTGAGTGTGAAGATAAACTGAAATGTGGTTACGCCTTATTTGACGGGGTGTGAAACAGACTGTCAGGACACCGTCATAAACATGACACCTGTAATGAACATGAGTAAGTCTTCATCAATATTTATGACTGTTGTCATAAAATGTCATTCGGTAAATCATGACACTTTTAATACAAAGTTGACATAATTCAAAATGTCTTTGTTATGACAACTGGTTATTAACCAAGAATCATCATATGTCATAATTGTAGTCATAATAATGTTATTAAATGCTTAAATGTTATTACATTGTCAAAAGCTTTAACAAAAAAGTAAATAATATTTCCCTCTATCTGAAATAAAGCAGAACAAGTAGGACCAACAATAAAGATTTCATTAAGCTTTACTACACTGTCAAATGATTTAATAACAGCTTGGTCAAATAAAGTGTTACCCTGAAATGTACATAAATTGTCATATCACACAATAAATGTGTTGAACAGAGCTAGATTGAAACTGCTGTAAGTCATACACACTGACCTCTGTTTTGGTCACTAAGATGGAGTTTTGCTGTCCCTTATGCTGATGGCTAACAGATCGTAATGACCTGGATTAGACATTGTTATGATGAAAAGACTAAGTTTACAGAAAAAAATGTACATAAATAATAATCATTGCAATAGTTCACAATAACATTGGAATGCCATTTTGTCCCAAAAACATGCAGCCCAATTTAAACCAATAAATATACTACCTTAAAAATAACCTCTTGAAATAAAGACAGAGTTATCATACATTATTTTACACATGGTGTCGGCTGCTTCACTGTGTAAACCTGGTTTAGAGTCAGGGCTGTTCTGTTTCAAACATATAAAAAAATGGTGAAAAAGTCTTGTGCTTTAACTCACCCACAGCAGAAACATGAGATTTTGCCGAATTGATTAAAAAACTGAGCCTTAAACTATTACAATCAATCAAATGTGGGACAGTATATATTACCCTTACAGTACAACCTGCAAGTCCTTGTTAATTTGGAAGAAAGCGCAGCATATTATGGTTCGCTGAGGGAGTACAATTCCCCTAATCACAACTTGTATGCCTCATACAAAAATTCGATGCAGCGGATCATTACTCATATAAATGCTATATTTAATATAAATGTCATACAGGACCTTTAACCAGGTATTTTATGAAAAACAAGAAGTGCGGGTAATAATTTAGAATCTATTTTAACAATTTCTACCGAGTGACTATGGGAAAAAAAACTGCAACAGTAAATGATTTATCAACTTCTAAAGCTCAGATCTTTGGAATGAAAAACATACATTGTAAAATAACAAGAGATTGTACTACTTTGAACTAAGAGGAAAATTACAATTTTAAACTGAGAACACTGTGAAGAAGCTAAAAGAGTGTAATTGATCATTTTTAATGAGATGTTGTTGTAAAACTACATTTAGCAAGCTATGAGTGGAATGTTATAAAGCAGTAGAGTGCAGGCTAGGAAGTTTAGTTCATCTAATAAAATCGAAATAATCATGAAAATACAAATTTCACTTGTTAATTACACATTTTGATTGAAATTCAAAACACTGTACTTTAACTCAAGGTTAGGATAAAGTAACTTTATCTCAGAATAATGTCAGAGATAATGTCAGAGTCAGAAAAATGTCTTCCAATGGTTGATTTCCAGTGCGCTTCATGTGAAGAAGGCCAAATGAAAGCAACAATATTGCCTCCACTGATTGATTTAATCCATCTCCACACAGCTTTACATCCCCTTAGTGAGCCGGAGAGTCATAGCTGATGTTCTGTGTTTCACTGGCAGTGCGCGGCAGGGGAGCAGGAGAGCTAGAGCTTCATATGACACCACAAGACAAACTGCAGGGAGGACTAAATTGCAAAAAGAACATGGTTGTTTGAGAAGAGGCTTACTGATGACTGAAAGCTCCCATCAGCTGTTTGCTAACACAAGGCCAATCATTCCTATCCCATTGTTTTCAATGCTAAACAACATTTCTGACTCACTGGCTTAGGTCAGAATTAATTTACCACGTAACCAGGCCAGGTCGTTCTTTTCTGGAGTTAAGCCAGTCACTGGCTTAACTAGTCTGGTTGAAACTAGTGAAATCAAGCCAAAAATGTAGTTAATCAAAGTTGATTCAAGACTTAAGGCGGAATTTTTTTGTATTAAGGTTGGTAATCTTATTGTAGTATTAAAATCTGTTTGATGATCTGAAACACGTATGCATACCAAAATCAGCAGAGGGGCAAATACTTTGTACTGTAAGTCCTCTAAAGTTTTTTTTATTTTTTTCATTTCCAGAAACTTTTGTCGCCTTTCAAAAATCATCCTTTCAGCTTGACAACAACACTTATAATTAATTTAGCCACAAGAGGTCTTTATGAGCTAAACAAAAGCGACAATCATTTTGTTCGTTGTTGCAAAGACTAACAAGTGCAATCTCTGCTGAGGGCAGATTCAAAATGTCAATTTATTTTGCATTATGCAAAGTAATCTTGCTGACCAATTAACAAAGCCCAAAGTCGAGTGCTCGGATAGGTTAATGGAGCTGACATTTTGAACAGTGCAAGAAATACTGCACTCCAGCAGGGACGGAGCGCTCAAAATCTAAAGGTTAAAGAGATCTGAATATTCGCTTTTTATTATTATGTAAACAAACACCTTATATAAACCCTTTAACACTTCATATGTCTGTTGTTGTCCTTCCCTTAGTTCTATTTGAATATACCAATCTCAGATTACAGCAGCTGCATTGTGTATTTGATTTGTGGCTCTGAGACAAGTGGCTATACTAGTCATATACATGTAGTCAATAGCTATGCTTGACCCAAATACAAAAGGACCTATTTGTCTCACGATGTGCATTGACCGCTTTAAAGTTTTAAGAGGTTCCTAAAGCTGAGCAAAAGCTTTATGGACCTATCTCCCCGGACATGTAGCCATCTTACAACTACGAGTTTATCCCCAAGAAGCACAGATAATAATAGCATTTTCTAAAAACTGGAAGCGCAGAACTACATGGCAGCCATTAAACAGATAAGACATTGTCGTTTTCCAATCTTATGAGGTCAAATTAACAAAATGTTTTATGTGAAACATTAAATTAAACTATTTCAGCTCCAAAGTTATGATAAAATGATGCAATGAGCCAAAAGTCTATTTGTGGCCCAGAAAGTAGCCGGTAAAAATTGCAAGGAAATTTAATTGAATTTTTTTCTTCTTCGCTCAAACCCTGTTTGCCTGCCTTCACCACACACACACATGCACACACTTCATCTCTAAAATATATGCATTCCAATGGAACACGACTGAAAGAGTAAAATGAGTGTTGAGCATATGACAAAACACTAATTTCTTACATTATTCACTGTATTTATTGCAGGAGTGATTTGGTAGCAGAGACGTTTGAGCTCGAGAGAAAAGAGGAGACAAAAGACCAATCAAGGGGCCTTTTCTGCTGGGACGCTTGCAGCCTTTTATCTGCCCCACACTCAGTTCTTATCACACACTTTCAGTCTTACCCGTCATGAGAAACTATGAATGACTTTTTCTTCAAAAGTTCTCACAGTAAGTACAAATGAGGACAACTAACAACTAAAACAAAAAATTAATTCACAAATGTTTAAATCAAAAGATATACTATAGATATCAGAATGTGTGTGCATTATTCACTTTGTAAAGCTAATTTTTTCAACAAGACCATGTTGGCAGATTTGCTACCCCATGTGAAAAATCTTAGGACAACTGGGTAAGAGAGGTAGTACTTCTCTTGCCACTGTGGATTTTTTTGTATCAATTTCTTAAGGCTCAAACATTGTATTTGAAGAAACTGGAAGAATTATGTAACAGCTCCTTGTGAAAGTAAAAACTGCATTAATCCCTGTCATGATCTCAGTGTGGTGGTGTTTAAAAGTGCTTTGAGAGAGCAGGATCTACAGATGAACAGCATGGAGGGTTGACAGCTTGGGCTGGCAAAAAAAACATGAGAAAGGGAATGTCAGAGACTCAAAGTTTTATAAAAACAAAGATTATAATAACCCCATTCAGAAGTGCAAGTGAAAAACGTCCTATTATCCATCTTTTAATCTCTACATCTCAGAACCCCTAACAATAAAAATGTCACAAAACTTATTGAATAAAGTACAGCAATGTACTTTATTTATATGCAGGTACAAGACTTTTAATAGCTTTGTGGTAAAATCAGAGCACAGCAGGAGGTAGTTAGCCAATGTATGCATAGGCTGAAGATTTTTATCAAAGACATAAATGTAAAAAAGAAAGAAAAAGGCCAGAAAAATTGACTTATTCTGAGCTCCACAGTAGCACAGTGAGTCTTAATCAATTGCATGCTGACTGGGGACAGCAAAGAGACATTTAATCAATGACTATATTTTAGAAGAAGTATAACTTTTTGCACTTCGAGTGTTATGGGCATGAAAAAATTTTTGAATTAATCAGAGATTTTGTTTTTTGAATTAAAAGTTTGTTGTTAGGCTGGCCATTATGTCCAAACAGGCAGAATGATCCATGGGTTATTTCCCCAAAGTGTGATCACACTGCTGATTTGAGTGTTAAAGGCTATATTCAAAACAAGCCATTAAGTTTGAGTTAGAAAGACAGCCGGCACATGTTTCCACAGAGTGCTTGGAAGTAAAGAATTAAAAACGTAGGCCTAAGGCGCAAGCAAGAAGGGAGGAAACTTTTTCATAAAGTTCGACTGAAAACAATAACAGGCAATGTCACTTCACACATAATTGCTCCATGTAGCAAA